AATGTTTGAAAAACATAGCCTAACGATAGTCAGAATACGAAAATGAATTGCATCAAGCCCTTTCCTAAGCACAATGTTCACCAGAATTGACAATATTTTGATAGAAATGCGACTGAAAGTTATTTGACATTTATAAAACTTTAATGCGTCGAGAAAATTATATATTTTTTAAATGCTCATGTATTCGGCCACTTAAAAGCGAAAAAGTTACAGCTGAAACAGATATTGTAAAATAAATGTCTTTCTATTTAAAAGAAGGTTTAACTGCAGCAGTGAAAACAAGTCACGAATATATTCTCTGCCTATTTATGTCATGCATTTTTTCATGCATGTCATGCATTTTGATATAAATATTGTAAACAAAATAAAAATTTGTGTTTAAAAACACTTTTTTCAAGCATATTATCGTGAAACGACAAGCAAAAATACAAAAATATAAAAATAACATACCTTTTTCATTGTTTTTTTAGTAGAAAAACGTTGATTAAATCAAAACAGATTCATTTTTATATGTTATTGATCGGATCTGAACATGAACCTGTCGTTGTCAGGAGCAACTGATTTTGTTAAAGCCAAAACGCCAGGCATAAAATTTTTATTCCAAAGCTTCTCTGCTACCATATTCATGAAAAAAGCATGTGCATTTTTACTGAAACTATACGTCTTTTTGTGTGTTTCTTGCCAGTTTTCTCGAGTTTTCGTATTCGTGTTTTATATCTTTCAACTTTTCAATTTTTGTCAGCCTCGCTTTGAAAATACACAATTGCACTGATCTCAAATTAGTTTGCAAGCAACACTGGAATTTTAATGAATTTAATTTTTACATCTGATAAAAAATTAACACGTTATTTACTGGCAGCCTCGGTCCGGATGAGAAAAACTGTGCCCTCGGTCTTGAAAACGTCCCTCGCCTTTCGGGCTCGGGCCGTTTTCAAGACCTCGGGCACAGTTTTTCTCATCCGGACCTCGATCGCAGCCGGTAAATAACATATATATCTGGAATGACTGATCAATAAGTCACAATTCTGTCATATTCCGTTGCAAGGGCGTTGTAGAATATTTTTCAAACAAGTTCAAACGAAGTTTTTATATAAAATATAGAAAAGTATCGAAATTATTAAAATTGGAATGACACTGAAATTTAAAAGGCAATACAATTTAAAAACATTGTGGTTAAAATTCCTGCAGGTTGAACGTTCTGGTTAACCAAGAACTAACAGTTGAAGGATTCTTGTTAGATAGAAATTTCGAAATTTCAACTATGTACAGTATAGACACTCTGGCAGGAATCGAACCTCTGCGATTTCGATTCATCTGCGATTCCAGAGGAACTATACAGGGTGTATAAAAAAAAAACTGAACAAATTTGATTGGCTCCCAATTTCGCAAAACAGCTCGTGGTATCAAGTTTTTGTTATATATAGATTCGTTAAGTACCCATAATGTAGAATAATGAAAAATAGGTACGCCCTGCGTACAGGTGGCTAGCCTATACAGCTTTTTAATACAGCTGGAATTCACATTGTGATAAATATTCATCACAAACATTCATTGTGATACAAAATTAATAATTACAGTAGAATAATGGTCAAAAATAAAAAAAATTCAGTATCTTTCTTACAATTCCAACAAATAGCTTTGATAGCAATGGCACAGCCAACAATATTATTGAGTCGCACTTTAGATTAATAAATGTTTTGTTTTAATAACAAGCATATACAGCAACTAATGATGTCAATTTATTTCTTTTGAAAAATTTCACTCTACAAATATATAGTTAGAGGTATTGTAATGCATGTCTGCACAATCCAGCAATTCATTAAGATTTCATTGCAGGGTTTAAAAGATTTCTTGAATTGCTGGCATTGCAAATTTCATAAAACCATTCAATTCAAAGTTCTTCATTAATATAATATTTAATACTAGATAAATTTTAAACATTTTTTATCTATTGTAAGATCTAACAGCATCGGAATTTACAAGAAAGAACTCATCCAATTGATCATGCCATCAACACTAAAACGTTTGTCTAACACCGTTGTACTGCCCTGACACTTGGATATTCTGATCTTTCTATAGTCACCATATTATCAGCAATTTGTCCAAAATATATGTGTTTACTTAGCAATGAGAACAAGGTTGTTTACTTAGTTGCTTAAATGCACTAGCCAGGATGGCGTGGATTGGCGTGGACAAAAACATCAAAGGCACCGACTCAAGATATACTTCTGCTAGACCTTCCTATTCTGCGATGTCATAATCACTGCTATGGAAAACGGCAAAAACTAATACAGCAGACACCACTGCAGGCATGCAATCAATGATAATTCACGTCAGAATGAAGAAATTTCTAAAAACAATTAAAACATAAAATTAAAAACTTACAGCAGCAATTGCAAAGATGAAGAAGAAGACAGGGAACATGGCAGAACTTATTGACAAACTGCAAGAGGAGTTCATCATAAAATCGGCGTGATAAATAAATTGTCATAAATATGTGTGAAATTTTTGTCATCTGGTCGAAAATTATATACATATAATATATATATTTTGTCTATATATATAATATATATTTTGTATATTTTGGCGTCAATTTTTCACTTGCAGTTGCACGGCGAGATACAACGCACTTATTCAAGGCACATGGCAATAAATTCCCTGATCACTTTTAATATTCACCTTAGCTGTATAACAACAACATTTTTATATTTATCTGGTCCTCAGTGGGCGTACAGCTATTGCCTCGGTGGTTAATGTCTTCCTGAGCTTGATTGACACATTCCCTGAAATAGGTTTTTGAAAGCCTCTCTGTATGTTTGGTCCTGGCAGGCATAAATTATTGGATTGCATAGACTGTTAAAATAAGCAATTTCGGCTACTAATGGTGGAATTCCTATGACCTCTCTTGAATAGTACAGAAGCAATAAATAAATAAAGTAAGGCCCCCAACACTCGGATAGTCTTCAGATTTTGAAGAAAAGCACTTTGTTGGTTTCGATTATTGAAGGTTTGTCCCAGTTCGCCATTTCGTAGCATCTTTGGTCGTTTATGAACAACAACAAAAATGAGAGCGTACATAATGAGTATGACTATGGTGGGTAGAAAAAAACGCACTTATTGCCAGAATTAAGTATAGAATCCTTTCTCTTTGTTGATATCGATAGGACAAGAAGCCGTCAATCTGGTAGTATACAAGATTCCATTGCTTCCTGAATGAGGGGTGGCGGCGTAGGTGGCAAAGGCAGTTGAAATCAACCAAATGATAAATTATTTTCAATGATTTGGAAATTGTCATTCTGGATCTATACTGAAGTGGTTTCCTCATTTTCAAGTATCGATCGAAACTGATGAAAGTCAGTGAATAAATAGATGCTGTTAACGCGAAGGTATCTAGCCACACCATAAAACGACATAGATGATTATTTGTAGTGACTGCATGTCCAGAAACGTCTTGAAACACCCACAGTGGTTCCAAAATCACACCAATCAAAAGATCAGCGACAGCCAGGCAAACAATGAAATATTTATTTGGTTCGTGAAGATTTCTTTCCCTCCAGGTCGCCACCAAAACCAAAGTATTGCCAAGAATTGTAACAATGGCGAAAATAGTGAATATAATCATCCATGGTAATGCCGCATCATTCATGTTCAGTCGAATTAGCGTCACTGCAGAATATGATCCTAAGGAATAGATAAGAATGCAAGGCTAGTCAAATAAATTCCAGCAGTGTTAGTTCGCTCTGCATGCATGTAGCCTATACTGATCAGATCTACGTGTATCGACTTTATAGTCAAATTCCCTCAGTTTCTTACGTCAGTTATTTTGATTTATTTTTTATCAGTCAGAATGAAGCAATCTGATTGGCTGAAGAGCCTTTTAGAGCCTTTTTTGCATCCGGCCCGCTCTGAAACGCACCTGCCCGCTGTGAAATGCAATTAACTGCTCGCTCTGGTTTTCGCATAGGCGGCCCATTAAATGTTTTTAACTTACATAAATACTGCTGCAAAAAATGTTAAAGAAAATCAGAATATCTCAAATTAGCGAACTGTAGCTTATTAAAGACAGGACTAAAGATAATCACTTCGTGCGACTCATTGCACGGACAGTGATATGACGTATATAAATAATATCTTATTAGGATATTACATCCAATATGTTATGAATAGTAATTCTGCGATAAATTTGACCTTTTCTTCGATAATATACACACAAAACATTTTATTGTACACAAAATACGAAAAACAATACACTAACAAATTACTGGCAAAAATTGTTCACGTGATACGTCACAGTGATCAAATTGTTCACGTGCGTTCCAAAGTTGCGTAATCCTTATAATAACAATGAATAATAACAATGAATCTTTATAACACTCCCCACTCCTCTCCTTCCAACAATCCGCACCTCCAGACAAACTAGATCTTCCACCAGTACTTCCACCAAATATGTCATTCCGAAATGCAAGACATCCACCTATCAACGATCCTTCTTTATCCGATCAACTCGGATCTGGAACCTTCTCGCCGATCAACTAAAACTGGACACATGTGGTTTCTCTACATTTAAAACTGTCATTTTTAATTATTACTCTATGTCATTAAGAACTTGTTACAATGTCAACGACCCTCGTTCGTACAAAACCATTTGTCCAAAGTGTAACTCTGTTCGTAGTCTTAGTATTCCAATCTCGTGCTGCATGTGAAAGACGTATTGTTGTTATTTTCATATGCTGTTTGTTGTTAGTTGATTATTGTATTTGTTAAATTTGTAATATTAGTTTTAATGTTAGTTTTACGGGGCCGTAGTAATTGGCTAAGTGCTGTTACGGACTCCCTGCCATTAATTGTAATATAGTTATCTACAAGGCAAAGCTAATAAATTAAATTAAATTAACGTTGAGTCACTGTACAAGTGATCAACAATACTCCCCAATGTTGACAATAATCGATAAAATATGAATATATACATTACTGTAATTACGTTAAGTTTTCTTAAGTTTTCAGATATGTTTCAGTTGTTCGGCTCTTTTAAGCTCTCCGATGACCGCCGCCATACGACGTGGACGAGTATTTAACGATACAGGCGGTTCGCTAATTGTTGCTTCCGATTTATTCTTGACCTCGCTAAGCGGTTGCTTCACTTCGATTGGAATCAGGTGACTAATCGATCTTCGGAGAAGTTGCGCTTTGTCACTCTTGCCACCTAACACTTTAACAACAGCTGCTCGAACAAGGTTATCTTCTCCATGTAAAAGTTGCTCAACCTTGGCTAGCTTCCAAAAACAGCGACTCGTTTTATCGTTCCTTAAAATAACAATGTCACCGATTGAAATATTACCCGTCTTGTTATTTCTTGCCATAACTCTAGATTGTTCACGAAGTCCCAACAAATATTCAGTTCTCCACTGCTTCGTAAATTGCTGAATTAGGTTTCGGTGGTGTCGTGCTCTTTTCGTTAACGATTGATACGTGCTAATAACTTCATAGTGTTGGCTATTCGGCATAGTGGTGATACGACGTCCATATATCAGGTGTGAAGGACACAAGGGTGACGTGCAGGTTTCGTCGTCGTCGAAAACATAAGTTAGTGGTCGCGAGTTGATCAGCCCTTCGATCTCCACCACAAGCGTACTCAGCTCTTCATACGTTAGACTTGCTCTTCCGATTACCTTCTTTAAGGGCCTCTTTATGCTTCGAACTAAACGTTCCCAGAAACCGCCCCACCAAGGGGCTTTCTCAACAATGAATTGCCACGTTATACGATTATTAGATAGGTAGCGCCAAACTTCCTGTGCTCGACTTAAATTTCGGATTTCCTTGGACGCTGATTTGTAAGTTTTGGCGTTATCGGATACCAGCAACGACGGTAGACCTCTTCGACTGGCGAACCTGCGGAATGCTTGTAGAAATGATGAGACGCTCAGGGATGGTGTAAGTTCTAAATGTACACCCCTTGTAGAGGCGCAAGTAAATAACAGTACATAAACCTTCAAAAGGGATTCGATTGATGACTGAGCTTCCTTATCTGGTCGAACAAGTAACGGTCCTGCGAAGTCAAGTCCTACGTTAGTGAACGGTGGATCGTCTGCAACTCGACACGGTGGAAGATGGGGAAGAGGTGGAACTCCATACGGGGTACCTTCAGCCTTTCGACATACGACACATTTCTTGAGAATTCGCTTGACCACTTCTCTACCACGTAAGATCCAGAATCGTTCTCGAGTAGTCGTCAATGTGTCCCTAATACCGTTATGCTTAACTCGATGGTGCACGTCTCTAACTATTAGATCGATAATAGGATGTTTTGCAGGAAGCAGCATTGGATTTTTACTCTCTCGTGGTATATTTGCCTTGTCAATCCTTCCCTTGCATCTAAGGAGCTCTTGTTCATCGATAAACAGTCCAAACTGACGTACGCGATTCGGTATCGAACCTTGACTCTTGCTTGATAAATACTCTATTTCTGACGGGAATGAAACGTTCTGTATCGACCGAAACCAGATGTTTTCTGCAGCGTTGATCTCGGAGGCTGATAAGTCCTTCGGCTTCGTCATTTTCGTGATTTTTCGATCTCTAGTTGACTTCTTGACATTGTTGATAAACCGCAAAACGTATGCGGTCACTCGAAAAAGGCGGGTCAAGGTACAGAAATTTTCGCAATTCATACTCTTTGTAATGTCTGGTGGATTTGGGTTGGAGCCCTTTGTTACCAAAGAGTGCGTCACGGCTGGTTGTTTCTTAACTACTTCATTTAATGCGGTATCTGGTTCCTCTGACGAACATTTTGGCCATTCATCTTCGGATTTCTGAAGAAACTCAGGACCTTCCCACCACAGTTTGTTGGAGACAAGGTCGGTTGCTTTCACTCCACGAGATGGCAAATCTGCGGGATTCTCCGTACCGGGACAAAACTTCCATGAATCCTTGGAGGTCAATCCACGAATTTCTTCCACTCGATGCATTACGTACTGCTTCCACAACTTATCGTTCGCGATCCAGCATAGGACTGTCATGGAATCCGTCCAATTGATTATCTCAACTTCTTGATTGTTGCAATTGTCTTCAAATAGACACCCTTGCACTGTGGCGATTAATCTTGCTAGAATGTTTGCACCTAACAGTTCTAGGCGAGGAATCGTTTGTTCCTTTAACGGCGCCACCTTCGATTTTGAAGCTACGAGTCTTACTTCGATGTTTCCACTTTCGTATAAAGATCTCATGTAAATAACTGCGGCATATGCGATTTTGGAGGCGTCGCTAAACCCATGTAGCTGTATCTTCATCGGCTTTTCCGTAGATTTAAAATAACATCGTTGAATCCGTAAATCATTTAAGGTATTTAACTCGACTAATATTGTGTTCCACTTGGTTAGAAGTCTATGTTTGAGTTCGTCGTCCCATTCACTTCCTTCGACACACAATTCTTGAAATAATGCTTTCATCTTGATGACAAATGGTGTTAGAAATCCAACAGGATCAAAGATTTTCGAAGTAACCTTTAGCACAGAGCGTTTCGTCGCAGGCAAGGAACGAGCATATTGAACCAAACTCGAAAATTCAAACATAAACGTGTCATTCTCAGTGTCCCAAAGGACCCCAAGTACCTTGACGCATTTATCCTTTGTCACAGTGGTTTCTTGACCGATTGTTGTTTTAGTGTAGGACTCGGTTTCTTCCATTACGATTGGGGACGAGGGTTCTTTAATCACGGCTGGGGACGAGGGTACTTCGATCATGGCTGGGGACGACGGTACTTCGATCACGACTTTGGACGAGGGTACTTCGATCAGGGCTGGGGACGAGGGTTCTTCGATCGTGGCTGGGGACGAGGGTTCTTCGATCACGACTTGGGACGAGGGTACTTCTATCAGGGCTGGGGACGAGGGTACTATGGCTGGGAACGAGGGTTCTTCGATCGTGGCTGGGGACGAGGGTTCTTCGATCACGACTTGGGACGAGGGTACTTCGATCAGGGCTGGGGACGAGGGTACTATGTCTGGGGACGAGGGTTCTTCGATCGTGGCTGGGGACGAGGGTTCTTCGATCACGACTTGGGACGAGGGTACTTCGATCAGGGCTGGGGACGAGGGGACTAGGGCTGGGGACGAGGGGACTATGGCTGGGGACGAGGGTTTGTTGTCTGAATCGATATTACTCTCTGCCTGGGTTATAGTTTCAACAACAGTATTCGAATTGGAAGCCCACTTACGTAAATTGAAACCACCAGCTAGCATGATACTTTTGGTGCCCTTGTAAATATCTAATGCTTCATCATCACTCGGAGCCCCAGAAACTAAATCATCGACATACAGGCCATTCTTTAATACTTTGACTGCATCAGGATTCTCGTCTTCATATAAATTCAAGTGATGATTAATCGTAGCTCCCAACATAGCAGGCGATGGTCTTAATCCAAAGACTAATCTGGTAAATCGAAACTCGATGATTTCTGGAATCGGTTCCTGAATGTTCTTAACCCAAAGAAAACGTAGCATGTCTCGGTCCACATGATCTATGCCCACCATTAAGAATGCCTTTTCTATATCTGCAACCAATCCAACTGCATGGGATCTGAACTTCACGAGTATGTTGAATAAATGAGGAATATTGTTAGGACCAATATATAGGCAATCGTTGAGTGAATAGTTCCGTTCTTTGGTAGTAGCAGAACCGTCGTATACTACACGTAATTTCGTAGTGGATTTATCTTCACGCACAACAGCGTGATGTGGGAGATAATGTACATTATCGTTGTCTTGGTTGTTGCTTGTGCTTCCATTCACACGAGGTACTTCCTCAATGATTCCCAATTCTATTTGATCTTTGATGCTCTTATCGTATTCTTGAAGTAGTTCCGGTTGTTTCTTTAGTTTGCTGTACAACGAACGCAGTCGGTTGTAACACAAATCATAGTCGTTGTCTAGCATAGGACGCTCTTCTTTCCATGGAAGTCCCACTTTGTAACGCTCACCTGTAAATTGGATGTTTTGCAGAAATTTGTCATCTTGGTGGGAATCTTGTTTGTTATCAGTGATCCCAATAGATTCAGTGTCCCAGAATCGTTTTAGTGAATCAACAATTTCATCGTTTCGATTTGGAATGGCAGAATTCTGGCATGGATCACCAGCTAAAATGAGGTTGGACATGCTGGAATGGTTGTTGGATGAAGATTGAGTTGTGCGACCCGACAATAACCAACCTAGCTTACTGCTAATGGCTGTGGGCCCACCTTCACCTCGAACAATGTCTCCCGTTATAAAATCCCAGTAGTGGTCAGCCCCAATAAGGATATCAATAGTATCATCCTTACTGTCTTCGTTGTAGTCTGCTAGTTCCAGTCCCCTTAAGTGTGCATAACTTGTGTTAACCCTTGTTCGTACAGGAGAACAAATAGTGGGAAAATTAATGGCAGAAATTTCGACGCTATCTCGATCGGTTCTACTTTCTAAAGTAAGCTTATATACATCACAATCCTTTCGCTTAAATTTGTTGTCGCCAAACGTATTCAAATTAAGTGTTTCCCTCGATGTGGGCTTTAAATTCAACCGTCTCTCAACTGAATTAGTGATGTAGGTCCGCTG